GCCTCTACTGTGATTAGAAGGAGCAGGCCCGAACAAGGTGGCTCACACCTGTAATCCCAGCACTTTGGGAGGCCAAGGCGGGTGGATCACGAGGTCAGGAGTTCAAGGTCAGTCTGGCCAAGATGGTGAAACCCTGTCTCTACTAAAAATATAAAAATTAGCTGGGGGTGGTGGCGGGTGCCTGTAATCCCAGCTACTTGGGAGGCTGAGACAGGAGAATCTCTTGAACCCGGGAGGCGGAGGTTGCAGTGAGCTGAGATCACACCATTTCACTCTAGCCTGGACAACAAGAGAAACTGTCTCAAAAACAAAGCAAAACAAAACCTAGCATGTGTGCGTGGGGGGAATGGGTCCCTGTGACCCACCACGGACGCCCAGCCCACAGTGCCGTCCTAATTTCTCACGTGAGACCTGGACCCCTCACGTCTCAGCTTTTGTGAAGGACCAAATGAGGACCGGCACAGTCAGACTCTGATCCTATGGGCCCAGCCCTGCCCTTCTGGCTGGAAGGGAGGGGCCTGCCTCTCATGCAGGGGCCATAAGGCCTGGGTAGGTGACATCTGCCTCTGGAAGTGCCCCGCAGAGCCTGTGCCTGGGGCAGTGGGCAAGAGCCCGTGGAGGCTGAGGGACACACTGCCCCTCAGGCCTGGCTGGGAAGCCCAGCATGTACCTGGGCTTGCTGCCTCAGTCTTCCCATGTGTGTAGAAGGGGTAACTATGGTGCTGGCCCACGGGGTGTATGGAGAATGAAAAGAGTGGAAATTGCGTCCAGCGTACCGCCTGTCACAAGGTTACCCGTGATCTCAGTGACAGTGAGGTCTTCGATTCCACCTCAGGCCTCACCTAACCACCACCCCCCGCCCTCGCCCTGGCACAGCTGCCAGGGAGAGGCAGAAACTCACTCCCGCCCCATCAGGGTCACAGGGGTCTGAGGCTGGAGGGAGGGAGGAAACAGCTCCTCTCCTCATCCCTGTATTTTCAGAGGAAACGGGCTGAGAGAAGCAGAAGGGAGAGCTCCCAACCTAACCCCCAACCCGGGCTGAGAGGAGAGTCAGCAGCGGTGAGCTCCGCCCTCCAGCCTCACTGCCTGGCTCCTCAGTCCCCGCCATCTGTCTCAGGGCGGGACTCCCCCTCCCAGGGCCTCTCTCCTACCTTGTCCTCAGCTCCATCCACTGCTGGCTGTGGTCCTCCAGCCAGGACAAGCGGAGACAGAGGCCTCTGGCTGGGAGCCCCGAGGCGGTGTCCAGCACATGGGTGGTCAGTGGGCTGTCCGTAGGCTCCATGCTGCTGCCCTGGGCCAGGAGAAGGAGACCAGGGTGAGCCTCTGGAGCCCTGTGCCCGCCCACCCACCCCCCCCAATCCTGTGTCCACACCAGCTGTGGGGAATAAACAGCCCTCTGGACGAGTTCTCCCAGCTGCCCAGGGGACAGGGGGCAAGGGTGACTGGAACTGCCTAGTCAGCTGATAAGGCACCAAACGTAAACAGCGCGACCTGTGCCTCCCGACCCTCCCCCACCAATCCCTCTGGCTCCCCTGCCCCACTGGGGACACCCACTCTCCCACCCACGCCCCCACGAAATGGCCATCTCCCCCCAGGCCCTCAGTTCCAGCCCCTGGGGTGGTTCTCCCGGAACTGGGCTCTCCTCCGCGCCCCGATTCCTGGGCCCTCGACGCTCAGCCCCCCGCAAGCAGCTGAGGGGACAGGAGCCCTGCAGGTCCAGGCCTGGCCCCCTAACCTCCTGGGGTCCTAGGTGTCGCTGGAGCCTCAGCAGCCGCGGGGCGGCCCGGGAGCTCATCCTGCCCT